CCCCAGTTAACCCCTGCACCCCAGTTAACCCCTGCCTGTCCCCCCAGTACTGACAGACTTCCAGAGCTGTTCTCCTTCCGCCCAACAATGAGTTTTCTCAGAGCCAAAGATGGGAAACTGATGAATGAAAACAGCACAAAAGTGGAAATTCAGCAGTAACTGGTATTTGGCCCAGCGACGTTCCGGACCGTGCAGGATTCCTGCTCCTCTGACACGAGACTCTGGCTTTTAACGGCGCGATGCCGCAGGACACACCACGCAGCTCCAGGCTGCCTGAGGCCACGCGGGCGCCTCACCTTTCGTTTCCACCGCGTTGATGCACTTCCGGACAAACTTGAAGCCCACCTCGTTCAGCTCCACTGTTCCAAAGAAGAGCAGCGGGGTTAGCAGCTCGCCCTGGGAGAGCCCCGCGGCCAGACCCCGCTCAGCACACAGAGCTGCAACCCCCCAGCACCCACCCAGCCGGGATCACAGGCGCACCTGCACCGCGTACGGCCCTCTGTGAACACATGGGCATTCTTTAAATCTGACAGGGAACTCTTAGTGCCACCTGTTCTACATTTTCCCTTAAATTCTGAGTTACAGCATTGCTCCCTACCCGCTTTCTAGCTTCAATAATAAAAGTGTAAAGCAGAGTCCCGCCACATGTGAATTTCTGCCTGATAAGAAGTGGTTTAATCACTCCCAGAGCACTGCAAAATCGCAGCTAAAGCTCTTCCACATCACAAGATCGTGTAATTTCTGCTTATCTACTAGATTAAAAAGCAAAGCCAATCCAGCTTGATACGCCAAGTAAAGCAGAAGGCAGATTTTGCTCCAGCCCGTTAACCGCAGCCCATCTCTGTGCCTGTCTCGCAGGCAGCGTGGAGCAGGTAGAAAATGAGGATTTTTTTTTCTATACACATATTTCAGCTTCTGTAATCACACCACTGCTTCTGCTAATTTCCCCAGGATATCTGGAAGGAACGTCTGAGTTACAATGTGAAATATTTTCCTGCTCAGTGCAAACATTTCTCTTGAATTTCTCCTAAATGACCACGCTGCTGCTGCTGGGTTTGTTTTGGCTTTTTTTGGGGGGAAGAGGAGTGAGCTATAGGGTTTTTGGGAGGGAGTGGTTGCTTTGGGGTTTTTTTAATGTAAAACAACATTCTGCTTAAAAAACCAGCCACGTCTGGACCAACTCCAGTCGCAGCACAGGCCGCGTTGGGGAATCCTATAAAATCACTGTATTTTCAGCAAGTTATTTATAAAGATTCTCTCTTCTCTGAACAACAGCAACAGAAAGCTCAGACGCACCTCAGCTCTAACACAGGAATGAGTAAAGACCCTTCAAGCACAGACCCACTCGGGACCTGATACTGAGTGGTGTGATACGACTTGAAGCATTTCTGGCTCTAATCTATTAAAACCAGAGCGTATTTACCTTTGTGAAACACCGAGTCACATTCTTTCCAAGCATGTAATGCAAACACAGTGAAACAACAGATTTCATGCTTATGCCTCTGATAATGCCACCTCTATGCTCATTAAAGTCAGCTAATTAAAGTGCTGGTAAAAGTAAGCTCCAAGATACAGAACACAAGTCTTTGCCCAGCTAACGAAGGCCCAGGGGAGCAGACCCAGCCTGCCTGGGGCCACGGGGGTGGTGAGGAGGGTCCAGCCCCTTGGGAAAGGGGAGCCACAGGACAGGGTGTTGGGATGGGACAGGGAAGTAAATGCCACCTCTATTTTCCTTCTGTAACCTCTGCCAAGTGAGATGTTCTCAGAGTCTCTCACTGATCTTTTTTCCCCACTCTGTTATTTTGGGGTTTAGAGGTGCAAACTGAACTGCACATCCCGCTAGTTCTGTCCCAATAAAAACTGCACACTGCAATCGATAACTTTGACCATTTGCAACTCATTCTGGCCTCAATATCAGACCCTGTGATGAAAAGGGAAGAAGTTACTCTGCTGCCACGGAGGGAACACGCAGCCTACTCAGCAGAAACCGAGGACGAGCGTATCAGCAAGGAAATGCACTGCCCGACCTCCGGACAGCCCAGAGGAACAGCAACACAAGTGACTCACTCTCTTCCTGTTTCGTGATGGGACTGTGGTAGATCTGAAAAAGAGGAGGGAATGGTGGAGGAAAAAAACAAAAACATAATGCAACATCAATCAATATTTATTTTCGAAAGAAAACGCAGCACCCCATAAATCACCCAAAGCCAATCACAAACAGCAAAACAATGTCCCCAAGAAATAGCAGTTTATAATTAAGCAAGATATCGCTATCTAGACAATAAATGAGTTTTTGCTGACTTCATACGTTTCACTGGAGTGCCTATTTCTAGGAAAGAGGTCTCCCAAAAACTGAACAGGAAACTTTGTTTGTCCTTTAGATGCCCTGTAAAAATGGCAGTGGACAGTCTGGCTGAAGGGCTTGTGGGTTTTCTGTTTGCTTGCTTTTAAAAATTCAGGTGTCAAGACATTCCTTCACCCCATACAAAAATACACTTTGTATTCTTTTATTAATAACAGACAGTGTGTGCCATTCTGGATAGAAAATCAAAAATCCTTTACACTCAATAACACATCATGTCAACTGAACGAGCCCCAGACATCCCCCAAGTGACCAGCTGCCTGGCACGAGGACGCTGACCCTCCACACTGCCCCACATCCCTTCCTCTCCAAACCAGGTGTGCTGGGGAGGGTGCCCACACCCCAGCCCCTGCTCCCGCACCCCAGCTCCTGCTCCCACACCCCAGCCCCTGCTCCTGCATCCCAGCCCCTGCTCCTGCATCCCAGCCCCTGCTCCCACACCCCAGCCCCTGCTCGAACACCCCAGCTCCTGCTCCCACGCCCCAGAACAGCAGAACGGCACGAAGCCCACCTCGGCTGGGCAGGGGCTGAGCGCCAGCAGCCAAGGGACAGTTGTCAGGGAGCCTGGCAGGGGCCATGTCCCTGCTCTCCCCAGCACCCACAGGCAGAGGACACTGCTCAGCAGCACCCAGCCCTGCAGCAGCTTCTCCAACACTCACCGGCTCCTTCCCATCCATGGCTTCCATCCACAGCCTTCGGTTGGCTTCTGAGAGTGCCTGCAGTGTGATGGTCCCCGACCTGCGCAGAGTCCACCCAGGGACAGGCAGGAAAATGAAGCAAAAGTTTATTTTTAATAAACAGCAGAGAGTGATTTCACCCAGGTTTACAGGGTTGATCTGTTTGGAGGCTATCTGAGTACCAAGCTGCTCACCTTTCATTAGTTTCAATGTCAAAGCAAAACCTTTTGTCTATAGAGTCTGTCTTTCTCCTTACACAGGATTTCAGTGTCAGGTCTAAGGTGCCCTAGGAGAGAAAACAAAAGCCAATGTTAGAGGAAAGAAACACGGGAGAGGATTTTGGGCTCCTCAGCACCCCACAGGGCAGCAGGCTGATCTGATGGCACTGGTACCAGAAGCAAACACGGTCCTTCCCACCATCCACAAAGACAGAGATCAGTGGGTTTGTAAGCCAGGCTTCTCCTCCACCACAAAACGTTCCAGCCTGTGTGGCACTGCCCTGCAAACCAGGGATAAATATCTCAGCAACAAGGCGTGTGCCTCCACCGAGCAGGAACGCTGCTACAAACCAACCTCGTGAGGCAGTCACTTGGTCTGTGAGGCCAGGACCGTGCTCGTGTTATCTGACACAGCTGGGTCCTGATTTTTCATAGAATCATAGAATAGTTTGGTTGGAAAAGACTATTATGATCATCTAATCCAACCATGAACCCAGCACTGCCTTGCATTTTTAATGGAGTTAATCGGCACAACCAATTATCCACAGCATTGATGGTCCAAACAGCTTGACACAAAATACCTGGTAGAAAAAGAACATAACTGAGCACCTCTCCTATGAGGACAGGCTGAGAGAGTTGGGGCTGTTCAGCCTGGAGAAGAGAAGGCTCTGGGGAGATCTTATAGCGGCCTCCCAGTACCTGAAGGGGCTGCAAGAAAGCTGGGGAAGGACTTTTCATAAGGGCAGTTAATGACAAAACAAGGGGAAATGGGTTTAAGCTGAAAGAGGGGAGGGTTAGATTAGATATTAGGAAGAAGTTCTTCACTGTGAGGGTGGTCAGACACTGGAACAGGTTGGTCAGAGAAGCTGTGGCTGCTCCTCCCTGGAAGTGTTGAAGGTCAGGCTGGATGAGGCTTTGAGCAACCTGGTCTAGTGGAAGGTGTCCCTGCTGCTGGCAGGGGGGTTGGGACTGGATGAGCTTTAAGGTCCCTTCCCACCCAAACCAGTCTGGGATTCTATGATTCTATGAAATCCAGAGTAGATGCAGATGAAGAGCGGGCACTGCGGGGCTGCGCTCTGGCCCTTTGCTAAAGGGGCATTAACGGACTCTACAGCAGAGTCAATTGTAACACAACTGTGAGATCTCCACGACTTTGCAGGAACCCTGAAGAGACATCCAGGTGACCTTATAACCCCCAGACCCGAGGGCTGAGTCAGCAAACCTGGAACATGTTCATCCCCCCAACCGTCACCGCTGCTGCGCCTGCCAGAGCTCAGACTCACGCTGTGGTGAAGATCTGCTGGCTGTGTTTAGTGTGTGTGCTGGTTGTTTGGGGTTTGTAAGAGCACTCCTTGTAATCGTGGCATTTGAAGCTGTGTGGCCAGCTGTGACCTGAAGGTGCAGATTGCCAGACTGCAAGGGTTTGGGAAGGGGACTAATTTACATCTTTACAAGCCCCTACCCTGTACTAATTGGCCTTACTAGACATGTTTACGGCACAGATGACAATAGATCTCTCCAATCAATGTTTTGGACATTTTTTTGCCAAGGTCTCTGCCAAGGGCTTCCAAAAAATACATTTTCTTTTATTGCTGCAGTGTGCAGAGGGCTGCCAAAGAACAGACCATGAGATCACCAACTGGAGAACAGCACGCTTGACTGGGAAGTCCCCGGGGGACGTTGCTCCATGGCAGAGGAGGGCGGGTGGACTCAGCTGGACGCACTTGCTGTACTCCATCATCCACGCCTGCATCCTACCCCGCCTCTGTCACGCCAAGGAACTGCAGGGAACTCCCAGACACATCACTCACTGGTAAAAACCAAAGCATTTTGTGAAAGGAGCAGTTCTCCAAATTGTTGCCTTATTGCACAGTTTAGAGCTGCAGCCGCTGCCCTCTCCTCCTCCCCCAACACCAGTAACCAGTTCTGAGAACAGAAATCACAGTCACAAACCAGTGACGGTGCAAACATGCGAAGGCAGAGAAGTACTGCTTTGGGAAGCACTCATCTAATAACTCCAGTAATTCAAGTCCTGGCAATCTCTGCCAGAGGGCTAGGTGAAAACCAGGCTGCAGGTTCACCACCCATTTGCATGGATAAGTGTAAAAATTAGCTTGTCTAGGAAGGCAGAAATTTCACACTAGACCAAACTCGCCAGTCACCACTGCCCCAGCAACACTCGTGTTACATGAACCCGCGTCTCCACTGCCAGACCCTGCAGGGCTCATCTGGGAGAGAGGGAGGTGAAACTTCTCTTCACAGAGTTGCTTCTTTTGGGTCACACCAAACCACCCGCCTGTGCGGCCAGGCAGGGAGGGGCACAAAGCCCACCCCTCTGCTCCGTGCCCAGGAGCCCTTCCATAGCCCCAGTGTCAGGACTCAGCCCGCTGTCAGCACAGCCTGAGGACTGGCACTGCCAGATGACTGCTCCTGCCAGTGGGGCTGGCCTCTGCTGCCCTGGATGCAGCATTTGTATGTCTGTTTGTGCACGGAAAGAGATGACGTGGGCAGAGTGAGGTGAGACCTGATGGCTGGGTCAATGTTTGCAGACATCCCTTCAGGAAAGCAACTCACTTGCTTAGCTCCAGGCTTCTGGTCCATGGGCGTCATCCGTAAGGTTTTTGCCTCTTTTTCGTACTGGCAATAATATTTCACCCAGGAGATGCCCAGCGCCCCTGCAGAGACACGAGAAGCTGGAGTCAGAGACGGCACC